TTCATCTAGTATAGGGGTAGGCCTGTAATCATAGACTATGAAATTATTTTACATTTCTAGTTAAGAACTTATGTAACTACATTTCATATTCAAGTTTCTTTAAAGTTATAAAAGTAAGTTTAAGGACTGTAATATAAAATACATGCTAGTAAAAATTAATACATATGAAATTTAATTCATTGTTGGATTAGAAGGATCTGGATGAATCTTATGAGCTCCCTTTTTAAGAAGTTTTCACCAAATTAATGAACTTAAAAATTTTTTGTACACAACTTTGAACCCTTAACTCATACTTGTGGGGTTTTTTGTTTGCTTTGTTTTGTGATTAAGGCAGGATAATCAGAATGATAGGGTGGGAAGGACTGAAAAGTGAGTTGCAGCAGCCTTCCGTGCCTCGTTTATTAGATAGAACGTAGAGAGCACTGACCGTATGCCAGGTACTAGGCTGAAAATCCTGCCTTTAAGGAACTACTGGGTTAGCTATGGTTGATAAATCTAGCATGTTCAATACGGAGTAATGAAGGTTATAAAAACAGTGCTATGGGTATACAAATCAAGACTATTTAGCTAAAAGGGATTTAAAACAATTTTCTAAGGGAGTGAGTTTCACCAAATTTTGAAGACTAAATAGACATTAGCTAATTAAAACCAGGGATGAAGAGCTATGGAGTTGTAGGAAACAGCAAATAATTTGGAATTGCTACTTAAGGAAATAAAGCTTTTGATAAGCCTGGAAAGGTAAGCAAAGACTAGATCATGAGATATCTTTTATCCTAAATGTGTTGCGATGAAGATGAAAAACCATCAGTGTACGTGAGGTAGAGCAAGGTAAAGATTAAAGTTACATTCTAGAAAGATGGCTTATCTCCTCTGTAAAGGAGATTAAAGTCTTAGCAGGAGAGATCAAAGTAGGGAGCCTGTTGTGCTATAATGTTCAAATTAGAGGGACTTAGCTAAAGTTGAATTCCATGAATATATTAAGGGACTACTGTCTGGATAAAGAGAAAAAGCCACATGTACGATGATTTCTGGATAAGTTCTGGCGTAAACGACTGGCTAGATAGCAGTGCTAATGCACAAGATTGAAACCATGGAGTTTGTCAGGGAAGGTGATTATTTACATTTGTATACTTTACTTGTTAATATTTATGAGATATTTATATTTTATAATATTTATATTCAGAGACTTATAGTAGATAGTCTTATGTAAAGAGGTTTAATGTAATTCATAGATTTAGAAGTCACAAACCAAATTCAATAAAATGTGAGAAGACTGTTAATGTGGATTGACAAGAAAAAATAGATGGGAAAAAACCCTTGGAAATGCCAGTATTTGAGTGTTGGATACAACCAAATTGCGTAAAGGAAATTTCAGAGGCAATGGAGTCTGAAGAAAGTTTTTATTGAATTTGGCAGATAATAGGATATTAGTGACTTAGCGAAAATGGCTTCTTTGGTGTTTTGGTTAAGGAAGCCAGATTAATATAAGTTGGGGTTTAAATATATATTAAGGAAATGTATTCTACACTTTCTAGAATATAGTTAGGGGATACACACATACACATACAATGGGAATTGTTTTCTGGGTTTTGTTTTTAAACAAGCACCGAGACTAGATTGCATTTTGAGAGTGAGAAGGAAAAGTCTAGTAGAAGGAAGGTAATTGATGGAGATAAGCCCAAGAAGGAACTTGAGGCAGTAAGATCCAAATCCAGGCTTCTCTCATAGACAGTACCTATAACCCACCTGGCTGAGGCGTTAGATCGTGTTTTGAGTCATGTTTTGGAAAAGGAATCATTATTTGAAAATTGTAATTGTGCAAATTAACAAGTGCAGGAAGTTTTCTAGCCTAGTATAGAAAGGTTATTCAATTACAATTATACAGAAGAACAGCAGCGATTATAAAAGTGCCAGCTACGCTTCTGTGTCTGAAGGTGGCCAAGAAAGTCAGTGTTTTTTTCTTTCTGGGTGTGGCATTTGCGTTAGATGATTTTAGTTTGAAGTGTGACTCCCGTTTATAATATAATGAGCAGGGATTATGTACAGGCATACCTTATTTTATTGTGCTTCACTTTATTAACCTTCTCAGATATTGTAGTTTTTACAAAATGAACATCTGTGGCAACCCTCCGTGAGCATGTCTGTCGTGTCACTTGGAATAGCGTGTGCTCACTTCATGTTTCCGTGTCACATTAGGGGAACTCCCAGTGTTTCAAACTTTATTATTATTATATCTGTTACGGTGATTAGTGATTAGTGATCTTTTTTGTTATTGTAACTGTTTGGGAGCCACCACACACCACATCCATAGAAATGAAGATGAAATTAATAGATCAGCGTAGTGTGTGTGCAGCGTAGTGTGTGTGCAGACTGCTCCATTTCCCCATCTCGCCCTCTCCTCAGGCTCCCTGTTCCCTGAGGCACACCTATATTGAAATTAGCCTCTAAGTATTCAAGTGAGGGGAAGAGTCACATGTCTCTCACTTTAAAGCAAAAGCAAGAAAGTAAGCTTAGTGAGGAAAGCATGTTGAAAGTCAAAACAGGGCAAAAGCTAGACCTCTGGTGCCAAAAAATTATCAAAGTTGTGAATGCAAAGGAAAAGCTCTTCAGAATTGAAAGAATAACAAGAGAGCAGAACAGCCTTATTGCTGGTACAGAGAAAGTCTGACTGGTCTGGATAGAAGAGTAAACCAGCTATGATGTTCTCTTAAGCCAAACCCAAATTGGGGGCCAGGTGCTAACTCTCTTCAATTCCATGAAGGCTGAGAGAGGCGAGGAAGCTGGCAGAGGTTGGTCCACAAGGTGAAGGCAGCAGCTGTCTCTGTCACATAAAAGTGCAAGGCGAGGCAGCAGGTGCTGACGCGGAGCTGCGGCGAGGCAGCCACAGATCCGGCTGAGCTCGCTGAGGGCAGGTGGTACTGGAAGGAGATGCCATGTAGGATCTTCACAGCTCGAGAGGAGAAGTCGAGGCCTGTCTCCAAAGGGCGGGTTGCCTCTCTTATTATGGGCTGATGCCCCTGGTGACTTTAGGTGGAAACCAGTGCTCATTTACCACTCTGAAAATTCTGGGGCCTTAAAGAATTTGGCTAAATCATCTCTGGCTGTGCTTTGTGAATGAAACAACAAAGCCTAGATGACAACATGTCTGTTCAGAACATGGTTTAGTGGGTATTTTGAGCACACTGTTTCAGCTGCTCGGAAGAAAAGATTCCTTTCAAACATTACTGTCCATTGACGATGCACCTCGTCACTCAAGAGCTCTCTTGGAAGTGTACAAGCAGATTAATGCTGTTTGTGGGCTAGCACAACACCCACTCTCTGCGGCCCGTGCATCAAGAAGTAATTTTGACTATTAAGCATGCATATCATGCGTGACTTATGACTTGAGAAATCTATTTTGTATGACTGTCGTTTCTGTAGTTAGTGATTCCTCTGGTGAATCTGGGAAAAGTAAATTGGAAACTTGGAAAGAATTCAACATTCTAGAAGCCATTAAGCACATCATGATCTGTGGAAGGAGGTCAAGCTATCAGTATTTACAGGGGTTTGGAAGAAGTTGATTCCAACTCTCATAGATGACTTTGAGGGATTCAAGATTTCACTGGAGAAATTAACTGCAGATGTGGTGGAAATAGCAAAAAAAGCTGGAATTTTAAGTGGTGCCTGAAGATGTGACTGAACTGTTGCAGGCTTATGATCAAACTACAAGGGATGAGGAATTGCTCCTGGTGAAGATGCTGTGAACACTGTTGAGATGACAGTAAAGGATTCAAACAATTACATGAAATTAGTTGATAAAGCAGGGGCCAGGTTTGAGAGGGCAGGCTCCAATTCTGAAAGAAGTTCTACCGTGAGTAAAATGTTATCAAACCGCGTTGCATGTCACAGAGGATTCACTTGTCAATGGGAGAGCCACTTAATGCAGCAAACTTCATTGTCTTATTTTACGAAATTGTCACCACCACTCTAACTTTCCACAGCCACCACCCTGATCAGTTAGTAGCCATCAACATCAAGGCAAGACCCTATACTGTGCAAAAATTATGACTCACTGAAGGCTCAGATGATGGTTCCCATTTTTTTAATAGATGAGAGTATAGTTTGAAGATGTCATTTATTTGTACTGGAACACAAAATTTGTGGCTCATTGCAGTATCAGCTTTATTATACTGGTCTGGAACCAAACCTGCAATATCTCCAAGGTACACCTGTATGAGGCTTTGAGTATAGCAGTGTTTGTATTGGTAAAACCCTGATGATGGGCCAGGCACAGTGGATCATGCCTGTAATCCCAGTACTCAGAAGACGGAAGTGGAGGATTGCTTGATGACCGGTCTGGGCAACACTGCAAGACCCTCTCTCTTTAAATAAAAAAATAAAAATACACACACATATATATGAAGAATAACTAGGTATTTTGTTGCATGCCTGCAGTCCCAGTTGCTTGGGAGGCTGAGGTGGGAGGATCACTTGAGACTAAGTTTATGGCTTGTGGTGAGCTATGATTGTGCCACTGCCTTCCAGCCTGGGTGACAGAGTAAATTCTTTGTGCTGTTTTTTTTTTTTTTAACACACATGAAGATTTATAGATACTTAAAATAATTATAGTATAATTCTGATGGAGTACTATGATAGGATGTTAGGTGTGCTGTGAAAATTTTAAAGATCATTAAATAAATCAATTTTGAAAGCAGTTCAAAGCACGGTGTTTTTTTTACTCTTTTTTTTTGATCAACATAACTATAGGTTCAAATGTGTTGTGAGATAAAAAAGGTTGGAAAACGCTGAGTTAGAATAATTGGGGAATTTATTGCATACCTTTAGGAATGGTTTAATTTCTCTTTTCATCTGTCTATTCACTCTTATAGGCTTTTATGTCTTTTTTAAAAATTAAATCATAGCTGTGTACATTAATGCAATCATGGGGTATAGGCTATTATGTCTATGTGACGTCTACTTTCCCTTGGGGCGGGGCAGACAGAGTCTCATTATATTGCCCTTAGTAGAATGCTGTGGCTCACAGCAACCTCAAACTCTTGGGATTAAGCCATTCTCTTGCCTCAGCCTCCCAAGTAGCTGGGACTACAGGTGCCCATCACAATGCCTGGCTATTTTTTGTTGCAGTTGTCGTTGTTTAGCTGGCCTGGGCCGGGTTCCATCCCACCAGCCTTGGTGTATGTGGCTGGCACCGTAACCACTGTGCTACAGGCGTCGAGCCTATTTTCCTTTTGTTCTTGTTTTTCCTTGAACTTCTTTTTGTTTCTTAAATTTTTTTTAATAACAGTTTTTTTCTTGGTAGTTGCTCAGGCTGGTCTCAAACTCCCAAACTCAGGCCTCCCAAAGTGCTGAGATTACAAGCATGTGCCACCACGCCAGCCTCCTTGAACTTTTTAGTTAGGATGCACGGTTCATTAAAAGCTAAATATTTTTCTTTAAGACTATTCTAGCAAATCCTATGAACATGTGTAAACATTTCTAGTGTGTCCCTAGTCTTTAGTGATTTTGGCCAGTATTTAATAAAGTGATCACATGCAGAGCTTGGTAGAAGTCAAGACCCACTCCAGCGAGCGAAATAAACCTGCCTTTTAATCTTTCGACCTAGGGCAGCTTCCTCAAGTAGTTTTATTCTTCATAGTTTCTGTCCTCCCACTTCTGAATCAGAATTCATTAACAACTCAAGAGGTAGCTGGGTTTGGTTTTTGCTTTTTATGTTTATAGTTAGTGGCTTGGCTTGGTGCCTATAGCTCAAGTGGCTAAGGCGCCAGCCACATACACCAGAGCTGGCAGGTTCAAATCCAGCCCTGGCCTGCCAAACAACGATGACAACTACAACCAAAAATAGCCGGGCATTGTCGTGGGCACCTGTAATTCCAGCTATTTGGGAGGCTGAGGCAAGAGAATAGCTTAAGCCCAGGAGGTGGAGGTTGCTGTGAGCTGTGATGTCACAGCACTCTACCCAGGGCAACAGCTTGAGGCTCTGACTCAAAAAAAAGTATAGTTAGTGGCTGAATAGAAGTAGTAGTTACTTTGAATTTTTTTTACAGGTAATTTGTAAGTTAAGGAGATTTGTTAAGGAAGTTAAGGAAGTTCAGGCCGTTATAACCTGAGTACCGTGTACTAGGGTGATATACAAACAGCAGTGTACAGTTCTTGAGACTGGAAGTCAGAGGTCAGAGTGCTGGCATGGTCAGGTTCTGGCGAGGACTGTCTTCCAGGTAGCAAACAGCTGGCTCCTTATATCCTTAGATGACAGACAGGACTGGAGAGCTCTGTGAGGTTCCTTTTGTAATGACAATATTCCTAGTCGTGAGGGTTCCTCATGACCTTCTTACCTCCTTCCCAGGGTGCCACCTCTTAATACCATTGCTTTGGGAATTTGGATCTCAATGTGAAACTGGGGGTGGGGGACACAGACTACAGGAGGTGTTCATGAGTGGCTTCTAATATATAATGGTTTTAATTTCTTAACCTGAATAAAATAAACAAGTCATTTCGAAATCAACTTCAGAATGCTCTTTTTTTGTTAAGAGTGCTAAGTGGTGTCAAATATTTTTCACATAAAGGCAGGCATCTTTTGGGTTTTTCCCTAAATATTCTGTTTTGTTTTAATTGAGGCAGAATTTATATACCAGTGAAATCCACGTATCTTAAGTACACAATTTGATAACTTTTGACAAATGCATATGCCTGTGTAATCTACATCCTTATCAAGCTATGAAATATTTTCGTTACCTCAGAGAACTTTTTTTTTAAGACAGAGTCTCACTATGTTACCCTTGGTAGAGTGCTGTGCCGTAATGTCACAGTTCACAGCAGCCTCAAACTCTTGGGCTTAAGCGATTCTCTTGCCTTAGCCTCCCAAGTAGCTGGGACCACAGGCTCCTACCACAACACCCGGCTATTTTTTAGTTGTAGTTGTCGTTGTTGTTTGGCAGGCCCAGGCTGGGTTTGAACCCGCCAGCTCTGGTATATGTGGCTGGCGCCTTAGCTGCTGAGTTACAGGCACTGAGCCAGAGAACTTCTTTATATGACTTCCTATCTCCTCGTTCCCCTGCTGTTCTTATTTCCTTCACCGTAGGTTAAGTTTGCAGCTCTTGAACTTTATGTAAATGGAATTGTAGCGTATGTACTGCTCTGTGTATGACATATTTTGTTCAGTAGGGTGCTGTTGAGAGCCATCCACATTGTGTGGCAGGAGTTTATTTCTTTTTATTGGAGAAGAGTATCCTGTTTAGTTTTAAATCCCTCTTGCTCCCATCGTGTGAGTGTATCACGGGTTATCTTCTGTCTTAAAGGTAGACATTTGAGTTGTTTTCAGGTTCGGGATATTATGAACAAGGCTATTATGAACATTCTTATGCAAATCTTTTTGTGGACATTGTTTTCATTTCTCTTGGACAAATACCTAGAAATGGAATTGCCAGTTTTCCAAAGTGGTTGTACTGAATATTTTTTGTTTTAATTTTATCAGAGTTATACAGGCAGATAATTTAGAGTCAAGTAGTTCTCTAAGACTTATTACTAAGAACAGCAATTTCTTACCCCTCTTACCTTCTTCAGACTTAGCTCGTCTAAACCCTTTGAGTTGATTCTTTCTTTCGGTATTTACCTCCAAACGTGTGCCTCTCTTTTATTTCTACTTCTGATACTTTGTTATGTGTCCATGCACTACCCTTTATGGAAATTGCAGGCATGACTTTCTGTCTCCCTACCCCAGCCT